TCGTGCCCGCAGTCGGCCGTGGGTGGCCGCACGCCGCGGTCGGGATCCAGACCACGGGTGATACATAGCTCTAGACACCGTGCTACCTGGGACAACTTCTATTGCATGGATGACCTCCCTTTCTACCACGCTTGTGGGCTCCGCAAATAGGTTTGAATATGTTGAGGCGACTGATTCTATCTCTGGGGGTGTTTTAACGGCCTCCCCTTTTTCAGAGACAAAGACTAGATACATGCCCTGCTCGCGATTTTGCTTACAGTAGTTAAAGAAAGAGGAAGCACACATGCAACCATAGTTTTCCACTAGACTGTTAGCTTTATGCTTTTGCAGTCTAACGGTCCTACCGCTTGGCAGCTTGTGTATCAACACCTTTCTATCCCAATCGAACTGAGGTTGAGCGACCTCGAGGTAGTACATGCCTAGTAACATATCGAAGGACAGTTTGTCACCGACGAGGAATGAAATTTTATATCTCACTTCCCCTCCTCCATAAGAGAAAGGAACAGACTACGTCCTTCACATAGTCTTTGACCACCATTTGATGATTCCTATTTGCTAGTGTAGAAGCTACAATTCTGCTAAGCCGTTGCACTTGGTCCCCTAAGCGTAGTCTATCCACACAATCACGACTGTTGAAGTTTCGTGTAGAGCCTATGTCTGCGAAGGCGCCAACTTTGCGGCCACCTACATCAACCTTTACYACAAAATGTTCACCCTTTGGACCTCTACGATCATCGCCCAAGAGTCTCTGGGGTCCTTCCCTGACCAGTCATTCTCTAACTCTTCTAGGGCCTCAGACACATCTCTCGAACAGAGTGTCGGTGGTTCTGAATATGTCCACAGGGCAATACATGGGTCACTAGCCCTGGCCAACGCCTGAAGTGGGGAAGGCAACGTTACCACTTCAGCGCGAGTCGAAGAGGCTAAAACTCCTATTGGCCCGAGGTGTTTCCCTACGAAGTGCTCGCAGAAGCACCGCTAGGGTTCGAAGATAGTCCCACCACCGTTGGAKAGGCTACCCTCGTTAGGACTTTCTTACCTTGGCATGTTCTGGACGTGTGGCCATAGTTGCCACAATTTATACAAGTACCTCTAGCAGCTCGGTTCCTCTACACCTAATACTCTTAACCAAGTTTCACCCATGCAGGTGTTCCTTGATCGCCCTGGCCCGTAGACCGGCCTACCTTCTTCTTTCCGGTCCCCCTAGCCTTTTCTTTGATGGGTGTCACGACTCCCCCATCCGAAGTCTCGCTGGGCCCACCATGCTCTGTCTCCTCCCCAAGATCTGGGAACTTATCAATTTCCGTCGTTTAACCATCATGGTCAACAAACATTAACTGACCCTTATTTTTTCAGTCTTGGGGTAGTCTCTTCTTCCTACCATCTCMCTGACTCTGATGTGTGGATCCCAGCTTTGCCTCTATATCTAAGGCTTTCTTGTTGCAAGAAGCAAAATTGTGTTGTTTGACATAGACCTCATCCACCAGCTTTGTCCTACACTCTGAAGGCAGACATCTAAGGTAACCCGTGAGGAGTACCTGCTGATCATAGCGCACACCAGGTACCATGAGCAGACGTTCGACGGTATCCGTAAGCTCACAAACATTCTTGTACCTTCTGGCACAAAGATTGTTGATCGCGTCGGTGGCCTTTTGAGCCCCTTGAGGGTCATGCCACCTATTATACACGGACCGTACGAAGTCTTCCAATGTTTGGGCCTGGGCCCTGGCATCGAAGTTCTGATCGTAGCCCTGCTGCTGCACTAGGCCATTCAACCAGCGGGCTGATGACCCTTCTGAAAAGGAGGCATCCACTACAACTTCTTGCTCCGGTCTAGTGAGCTTGTGCCTCACATAGGTCGGCACCGTCCTCACCCAGATATCCAAATCCTCATCCTTCTTCCTGTCGCCAGAGAAGGGCTTAGGACTCAGCAAGGGTATTTTGGGCATCCACTACATAGGTTGCATTGGCCCAGGAGATTGTTGCAGTGGCTGCATAGCCACCGTAACAGGTTGCTGCACACTAACCTAGGTCTGGCTTGACAGTGGGACTGTAGTAACCACTGTCATGGATGGTACGACAAAGACTCTAAGGACCGGACCACTATTCGTCACGTAACCACCTGGAGGGGGCATGCCAAACATAGGTGAGAAGGAAGGCCCTACCGGCGACGGCGTCACTGATGGACCTGCAACCGAAGGGCGAACTACTGCAAACTGAGGCTGCCTCATCACTAGACGAGGAGCCTGTAATGCAGCTAGAATTCGTTTTTGGTCTGCCACTAGTTCAGCCAGCACTTCCTGCTGAACAGCCTCCGTTTCAGCCACACACAGGAGSGAATTCCGCAGCGCTTGCAAAGTGGGATCAAGTGCTGACTCATCTAGTGCCTCAAGTTAAACTTTGCGTAGTTCCTGCAATCCACTACCTAGTCCAGCTTTCCTCATTATTGCTCTTTTTCTTCTCTCTGCTGCCTCATCCAATTGCTGCAGTAGCTCATCCTGAAGTTCTTCTGCTCGGAGGATCTCATAATCCTCCGGCGTGAGTTGAGCCTGTTGSCTGACTTGCAAGCCAACACTCTAGCTAATGGACGCCTAAGAACCACTCTGACTAACTCCTRACGAAGTGGCCTGTGAAGTGGCCTGCGACATGGAGGAGGTGGCCATGGTTGCACCTGTACTAGCTATAATCCTAGACCTGGCGCTAGCCACAACGTCCCTCGCTCTCCTCGCCGTTGCCCTCTCTCTAGCCTCTCTCCGCAGTCTCCTATTGTAGCGGACCCACTAGGTGTGGTGCTCCGCTAGTGATAGAGATGGAGATGGAGGAAGAAGGGGGGAGCGAGATGGCACAACGCAGCTCCCCACGCAAGACTCCAACGCACGTACTCCAAAATGTGCAAGTCAAGAATGAGGACGAAAACAGATAACTGTTGGGGTATACCCCAGCGGACTGACTGGACTGGCTGGTACTGACAGAGGGACCGGCCTAGACTGGACTGAACTGCCCCCGGATAGAACACAGGCCTATGAGAACAGGCTAAGGGGCTGGTCTCACAGGCCAACTAGAGGTCCGCTACACGATCCTCGGCCTGTGATGGATCGCCTGGATGCAAACACGCTTCCGCCAAGAAGTGCAACTCTACCAAAGAAAAAGAAAACATGAGTAGTCTAGGATGTGGAGCAAGCTCCATGCTGAGTCCATGCGATGCAACCTAGGATAGAAAATGTTACAAAACAGCAATGTCACAGCTAACAGCCTAAGTGAAAGCAAAAGCAACTAACTAGCATACATGTCCTAGGAAAGCAGAAACAACTAGCTAGCATACATGTCCTAGGAAAGCAGAAAGTAGTGACAACTAGATCCTAGAATGTTGGAGGCAGTAACCTCAGTCTGGGAACAACTGACTAGTGTATAAGTCCTAAGAACAGCAAAAGCAGAGCAGCTAAATCCTAGAAATATCAGAGGCAGTAGCCTTAATCTGAGAGCAACAAAGCAACAACAAGTCAACCATATGTCACAAGAGAAGTGTGTCGCAAACCAAAGGGTGGGACGGTCTCTGAGGGTGGCGAATGCAGCCTAGGGGTCAAAAACTCCTAAGGGCATTCACACATAGTGACAGGGGAAACACATGTCATCAGGCTCAATGAGGGTAGGGAACTGGGAGCGAACAGAACCAATGATCCTAACAGATAGACCATCAGGGCGGGTAATGCTCGACTAAGGAGTGGCCGCTATGGAGGGTCGACCATGCAAGGGAATAAGGGAGCTTGGTATACTGGGCGCACCTAGATGAAGCATGCGGGGCTGCCTAACTAGGGCGTGAGGGCCGGCAAAGGGTAGAACGATGATGGGTAAGGGAATCATGCAAATGACTCCTAAAGTGAGGGAAGTCGGAGCTAGATCTGTAAGATGGGAAGTCAGGGCAACGCTACGGTCCCGATGCCTATGTGTATACCAAGGGAGAGTCCAACTCAGAGGAACCCGGCTAAAGGGAGACCATCATGCGACACAAGCAGGGTACTGTACAGGGTAAACAGGTAAGAGAGTGGCGACGTCTGAAGTAGGCAGAGCTGATCATGACGAAGTCCATGAAGCTGCCGATGACGTCCATCATGTGAAGTCCGGAATGTCGTCGAGGAAGAGTCACAATGTCGATGAGCTGAAGTAGCAAAACTGAAGTGGATGAAGTACTGAGAAGTCAAGACGTGGGAAGGTAAGTCAGAGTCAATCGTCGTATCGAGCAGGACGACGACGAGTGCGCTGTGGATGCTCAGAAGCATCAGGCTGCTGTTGAAGGTCTGCCTCAGATGGAGCAGGCTCGACTTCACCGGTCTCCTCAGTCGGGGGAGAAGGAGGAGGGTCAGTGGGTTGAGGAGGAGTAGTGAACCCAGCACGACGAGCATGGTCATAGGCACGCACCAACATGCGAGCGTGCTGCAAGTGCTCGAGGGGCTTCCAGGTGGCCTCCTCATCAGGGTAACCCTTCCAACGTACGAGATACTCGACGTGGGGAGGGTTGTCGTCGGTGACTCGGCGACCAATGATGTCTGAAACGAGGAACTCCTCGTGACCGTCCACCATGATAGGTGGAGGGCGCTCGTATGGTCGTCCAGCGAAACGCTCGGACGGTCTGCGATAAGGATGCAGTAACGAGATGTGGTAGACATCGTGCACACGAGCCTGGTGTAGGTAGTCGGGCAACTTCACACGAAAGCTAACCGGGCTAGATGCCGTATCTGAACCGACAGCCTGGAGGATGCGGCATGGGCCAAAGAAGCGACGCCGAAACTTGCGAAGCGTGTCCGCTTCGAGTTGTAAGTGGCGGGCGTCGATAAGCACATCATCACCGACTTTGAATGGATGATCCATTCTCGATCGGTTCGCACGTGCTGCCATGCGAGTCTGGGAAGCGGCTATGTGCTCATGTGCGGTCTTCATGATCGACGTCATGTGTGCAACCCAATCATGTCGCTAGGACGGTCGAAGGAAGTCCGCGGGAACACGCGGGTGATAGCCGAGGTCGCAATAGTAAGGCGACATCCCCGTGACTGGCGATACGGCGTGGTTGTAGGCTATCTCCGCGTGGGCAAGATGAAGATCCCACTGCTGGTCGTCACGATCAATCTTTTGGAGAATATCTCTGAGAGTCCTATTCGTGATCTCGGTCTGGCCATCAGTCTGAGGATGGTAAGACAAGGAGAAGCGGAGCTGAGTGCCGTACACCTCGTGGAGCCGTCGCCAAAATCGGCAGGTAAAGCGTGGGTCACGGTCAGATATGATGCTCAAAGGTGATCTGTGGTCACGCACGACTCGGTCAAACACGATGTCGGCGACCTCACGTGCACTGATAACATAGCGACACGGAACAAAGCGTGCACGCTTCGTGAAGCGGTCGACGACGGCCAGGATAGCATCATGACTGCGAGGGGTAGGAGGACGAAGGGGACCGATAAAGTCCATCGAGATGGACTGCCAACGACCCTGAGGGATAGGAAGAGGCTGGAGCAAACCATAAGGCAAGTGGTTCGCACTGTTCACCTCTTGACAAGTGGGACACTCTGCGACGTAGTCCTTCACAAAGTCCTTGCGCTTCGGCCAAACGTACAGACTGCTCACACGAGCCAACGTCTTGTGGAAGCCCATATGACCGGCGACTGCCTGGTCATGGAACTCTGCTACTCCGCGGACACGTAGCTGTCCAGTGGAGGGAACACAAATACGGGGCTCTCTGGTGCCTTGTGAACCGTGTCAGTACACGAGACCGTTGTCCTCGAGAGAGTAGTTCGGGGCGGTCTTGCCACTCCGAAGCGTCGCGTGGATGTCGCGATAGTCGGGGCAGTGGCGGTACTGAGTGCGAAACTCGTTGATCACCGAGTGGTGGACAATGTTGACTGAGATGGAAGAGACCTGGATCTTCTCCTGGTCGTGGTCAGGGCGCCAGGATAAGGCATCGGCGACCCGATTAGTCTCACCCTTGATGTGCTCAGTGGTGAAACTAAACTCGGATAGGTCGCGTTACCAGCGAGCCTGTCGAGGAGTGAGCTTCAGTTTTGTCAGAAAAGCCTGAACAACCAAGTTGTCCGTGCGCACTGTGAATGGTGCCCCGTGCAGGTAGTGACGCCAATGCCGAGCGACATAAACTACTGCGAGAACCTCACGTTCATCAGCGGTGTAGTTTATTTCGGCGGGCAGGAGCTGACGGGAGTAGAAGGCTATTGGACAATCACCTGAGCGAGACTCGACAGTGCCGTCCCTGGGGATGGTAGGAGAATAGTCAATAGAAGGCTCGTCAGTTGCTGGACGAGTAGGCGTCAGTCGGGAAGCAGTGATAGGGGTAGGTGGTGGGAAGCGAGGGATACGAGGATGAGAGGAATCAGGAGATGAGGGGGAGACCTGAGAAAGCACTGCTCCTACAGCGAAGTCTGACGCATCGGTGGTAAGGATAAAAGGGCGGTCAAAATCGGGTAGGTGAAGAACCGGTGCGCATGTCACCGCCTTCTTGAGGGCGCGGAAGGCGTCCTCGTGGAGGGGTGTCCAAGCCCAGGGTGGGTTCTTCCAAAGGAGGGTGGAGGTAAGGACGTAGGAATACCTAGCGTATCCTCGGATGAAATTACTATAGTAGTTGGTCAGGCCTAGGAAGCTGCGAAGTTGCTTGGCGGATGTGGGAGCGGGCCACTCCGCAATAGCAGTGATCTTCGCGTCGTCCATGTGGAGACCCTGGTCAGACACGTAGTGTCCTAAGAAATCCACTTTGTGCTGGGCAAAGCGGCACTTGCTCATCTTGGCGTAGAAGCCATGTCTGCGCAAGCGGTCAAGGATGTCGCGGAGGTGTCTGAGGTGCTCCTCAAGGGTACGATTGTAGACCAGCATATCGTCGAGGTAGACGAGAACGTACTGCTCCAGGATGTCCCTGAAGATGTCGTTCATCGCCCTCTGAAAAGTGGCGGGTGCATTGGTGAGGCCGAATGGCATCACAGTGAACTCGTAGTGGCCGAATCGCGATCGGAACGCGGTCTTCGGCTGGTCCGCTGCAGCGACGCGGATCTGATGGTAACCGCTACGAAGATCAATCTTCGTAAAAAAACGGTTGCCTGCTAGGCGGTCGAACAGCTCATCGGAACGAGGCATGGGGTAGCTGTTCTTAACCGTGTAGCGGTTGGGACCGCGGTAGTCGATGCAGAGACGAAGAGTTCCATCCGCTTTGCGAGCAAACAGGACGGGTGCACCCCACGGGGAGTTGCTGGGTTTAATAAAACCCAGTCTCAGAAGCTCCTCAAGCTGACCCTTGAGTATGGTGGCCTCGGGGATCGAGAGTCTGTAGGGTGCCTGGTGGTGAACACGATAGTCAGGCACAAGCTGGATGGAGTGCTCGACGTCGCGCATCGGTGGGATGCCAGCGTACGAGATGACGATGGGAAAACGTCGTGGTACTCTCGAATGAGGTCACGACCTGCGGGCTCCAGGTCAGCCGTATATCGTGCGAGTTCCTCAGCGTCAGCGTCAGCGCGCGACGGCAGGGTGGACTCGACGGACGGCGTAGGGACGGAAGTAGAGATGGGAGCCATGGAGATAGAAGGGGGATCTGGCTCCAGAGGGATGAGCTCGGCATCGGGACATGGTGGATCATAGTGTAAGAGATCCGTCACGTTCACCATAAAGAAGGTGACGTTGTCCTGTTGGATGAAGTGGGCGAACTGTCGAGGCGAGGTGACAGTGATAGAAGGAGATGGTGTGGGCACGGAAGGCTCTGGGGGAGGAGGATCGGGGCGTGGTGTCGCAGTGGTACCTATGAAAGGTACGCGATACATCTGTCCACACGTCGTTTTGAGAACGAGAGTGTTGGTCGCCCAATTGGCCTTGGTGCTTCGGAACTGACGAGACCACGGAGTGCCGAGAATGAAGTTGTACCCGGTCTCCATCACATCGAAATGTGCAGAGGAGCGGTGGCGACGAGACACCGGGGGACGATCTGTCGGCTCGAGAGTGAGGAAGAAGGGGAGGTCGGTGACCGTCTGATCGAAGAAACGCTGGGTCTTGTCATCCCCTAGGGTGACAGAGATGGGAGTCGGAGACCCGGTCGTGGGTAAGCGGGCTTCTTTCACCACACGTGGGTGAATGAAGTCGCCCTGAGAACCGGAATCCCACAGCGCTGAGTACACCCTCGTGGAGGTCCCCAGTCGTACGGGGATGATCGGGAGGGTGCGATTAGGGTCGGAGAGGATGGTGAGAAGGCGACGCATGGCAGCAACATGGAGGGTGAGTCGCTCCTGACGAGCCTGGAGCATGCTCAAGTCCAGAAGAGAGGACACAACGTCCTCGCGAGTAGCGAGCTGCTCGGTGCAATGGGCTGAGCGAATGGCTCGACGCGTCGGTAGTCGCAGCGGGGAAGGAGGGGACACGGTGGTCTGCGGGGGTGCAGACGGTACTACAACAGAGGGCTGAGTACACTTTGTCGAGTCCTGCGATACCTCAACTCCAGTAGCGAGAGGGGCAAACCGCGACGGAGATGTCGAGAAGCCGACTACTGAGGAGGGCGCAGATGTACACTGCACCGTGGCTAGGAGGCACTGCGGGGATGGGAGGCGCCGGGGGGGGACGAAGCACGACGCTGGCGGGAAAGGTCAGCGTAGTGGCGGTCAAGGGCGGTGGTGTAAGGGCACCGCGAGGAGGTATGACCGTCCTGGCGGCATTGCAAACATACCACGCTGACCCAAAATAACCGCGCGCTCCTCAGCGGAAAGGACACCGCGAGGAGGGACAAAGCCCTGAGGGAGGTCCTGCTGTGGGACCTCGAGGGGCGACGCGCAGCGTGACCTGGGCGGCTGCGTGTCCGGGAAAGGGTGGAGAGGATGAGCTGGAGGCGCTCATCCATAGGGAGAGTAGGGTCCTCAAGGTGGTGCTAGACGACCTCGCCAAGGTCGAGGTCGTCGCTATGGTCACCCTCTGGGGACAACGGGGAACCAACGTCCTGCTCACCATACTCGAGCGCGCTGAAGCGGCGCAAGAAGTGGCGGCCCTGCTGCGCGGAAAGGGAACAGCGTTTGGAAGTGTTGTGAGAGGAGGAAGAGGCGTAACCAGTACGCTGAGACTGAGAGGAGGAGGCGGGGTGAAGACGGGCCCGCATCCGCTGATGGTCCCTGGCGGCCTCATAAGCCTGCAAGGCCGATGTGAACTCGTACCGCCATAGATCGGAGCGGTACTCGAGCGGGAGGCTGGCCAAGAAACGATCGATAAGGGCAGCCTCAGGGAGGAACGCCACGTCACAAGTGAGGCGGGCGTCCTTAAAGACCTGTATGTGGTGATCCAGAGCGGCAGCGCCACCAGAGCCGGACCAACGTGTAGTGATGACATCGGGCCCCGAAGCGATCCTCGAGGAACGCCTGGAAATCCATGAAGGTCGGGGTCCGACACTCACGAAGGGAGTACGCGTAAAAATCCTCCCAGGCCTCGAAAGGACCGCCACGTAGGTGCATGGAGAGGTGACCCACCCATGTGTCGGGTGTGGCGCCCATAAGCTGGAGCGTGCGGGTGGCAGACTGCAGCCACCTAGACACATGTATGCCTGTACCGTCATACAAGGCAATGTCCGACAATCGGATGAGTGGTGCACCACCGTTTTGGCGGCGAGGAGAACAGGAAGCAGGGGACTGCGCTACGACTAAATAAGTCGGCGCAGGTCCTGGAGGAGGAGGCGCAGCTGACTGTACGCCCGGGCCGCATGGTGGAGCGGTGGGGGAAACAGCGGCAGGCTGCACGGGAGCCGCGGTAGAAGAGGTCGCAGCAACCGAGGGGATGGGGAGGAGGTAGGATGTGGATGGGTAGGGTGCAGGGCGAGGGAAGCGAGTCTGCATGGAAGGAAGAATAGAGGAAGAAGGGGGTGCGCCGGAAGGCGCGGCCACCTGCGAGGGTGGGGGTGGCTGAAGGCGTGAGAGGTCGGTCCGCAGCTGGGCGATCTCGTCCTCGAGACCTCGAACTTAGGTCAAGCGAGGTGTGGCAGGAAGAGACGCACGAGCGGCGCGAGGCATCCCACAAGGGGGAGAGCCAGATGGCGGTCGTGCGAAGAGGAGGGAAAAGTGGGGCACCCGGAAAGGCTGCGACCATGGTAGCGGGTTGTGGTACCGTGGCCGTAGTGACCGGGGTCTGGGCGGGTGCGCCCGTAAACTGAGGGAGGACCTGACTCATGGGGGCCGTCGTGCTAGGGGCGTGGACGATCACCAAGATGGCCGGGTCGGGGGTAGCGGAGGAGGAAGCTCCACCGTGGTCACCCTGTCGGAGGACGGGGGACCCGGACTGGGAGCCAGGAGATGGAGGAGACGCAACGTCCTAGAGTTGTTGCACGCCGGCAGCAAGGGTCGCCACCTGCGCCTGTAAGGGCGCAAGGGTCGCGAGTTGCGCCTCGATGGGCGCAAGGAAGGAGGTGAGGAGGGTGTGCAGATCCCCCTGGGGCTGGTGGCCCTGGTCCGTCGGCACGGGTGTGGAGCCTTGTGCCGTGGTCGTCGCTGCGTCGACGGTGTGTGACGCACCGTCGGCCATGGGAAGGTGACGAGCCGGACTAGAGGGGGCCAGGAGAGGTCCGCGTGAGCGGAGGGCGTAGGAGGGGGTCCGCGGTAGAAAGCGGCGGACGGCGCTAGCAAGGCTAGCGCGGGCGCCGTCAAAGGGGGAAGGGTGGTTCAGGTCCAGGGTGCCCGAAGAGGAAGGGGAAGTAGGGCGGGGTTTGAAGAACCCTAAACCTTAGAAAAACCCTAAGAAAACCCTAACCGAAGTTTGAGTGGTTAGGGTAGGGTACCGGTGACCTAATCAAAAAAATAAAATAGCAAGCATAGGGGGGGGAGGCGGGAGAAAAATAAAAAAAAATGAGATTTAAAACAAAAGAAAATAAATAATAAAAACAATTAAGAGAATAAGTAAACAAAATGTGAAAAGAAAAATAATATTTATTTTTTTGAAATTTTCGCCAGCATTTCCCTACCCCCCATGAGGTCAAGAATGTGCCAAGGGGAAAGGAGAGATCAAGGTGAGCACACTAGGTTTTAAGATGCCGCAAATAAAAAGAATTTTCAAAAATAAATAAATAAATAAATAAGTAAATAAGTGGTTGAGGAGGTAGGGAGAAATGAAGTATCTGATTTGTCAAAAATTTCGGCAGCATTTCGTTACCCCCATGGGGTTTAAGTGTGCCGAGAAGACTAAGTGGGAGAAAAACAGAAAATTTCGGCAGCACTTCGTTACCCTCACGGGGTCTAAACGTGTGTCGAAAGTAGCAAAGACTAATACCTAATCAGATTTAGGGTTGCCGTAAAGAAAATCGAATTTCCAGAATAAATAAAAAAATAAATAAAATAAATTAGAAAATGAGAAAAGAAGGTGGGGAAGAAGATAATTCAATTTTTTGGAAAAAGAGAAAATATAAATCAAAAGGGAG